AGAGTACAGACGTGAGCCACTGTGGCCGGCCAAACTTGTTTTTCTCTTCTTCTATAAATTTTGTTTCATACTTGCCTAAAAAATAAAAATTACTCCTAATTTTACAACCTATTTTGATAAAGTTTCTTAAAGAGTTCATATCCCAGGCCCATGTACTTTCTGAGATCTTGGTTTAGGTTCAAAACATAGAGCAAAATAATTTATATGTATTATAAACAATGCAAATTGTATTGATTAAAACCTCCATATTTTATATTTTAAAATGTGGAGAACTTTTTTCACTTACATCCTATCATAAAGGTTGTCATAGTTGACATTTTGGTGTATTTGTTCTCACAAACTGTTTTGTATGTATTTAAAAATTATGAGAGGGCAGCGCCTGTGGCTCAAAGGAGTAGGATGCTGGCCCTATATGCCAGAGGTGGCGGGTTCAAACCCAGCCCCGGCCCAAAACTGAAAATAAATAAATAAAAAATAAATAAAAATTATGAGAGGGAGAGAGAGAGAGAAAAGCAGAGATTTTTAGAGGACGGACACTAGAGCTAGACTCTGGTTTGTATCCTGTCTTGTGAAATGTGACATGTGACAAAGATGATTATGAGAGGGAAAAGGAAAGAGAGAAAAACAGAGGATTTTTTTTAGCTCAGCTGAAAATCCAGTGGCACAGTGGTTATGGCACCAGCCACATACACTGAGGGTTGTGGATTCGAACCTGGCCTGGGCCAGCTAAACAAGCACAACAAAAAAATAGCTGGGTGTTGTGGTGGGTGCCGGTAGTCCCAACTCCTAGGGAGGCTGAGATAAGAGAATCACTTAAGCCCAGGAGTTGGAGGTTGCTGTGAGCTGTGATGCCACAGCCTCTACCAAGGGCGATATAGTAAGACTCTGTCTCAAAAAAAAAAAAAAGAGGATTTTAGGGGATGGACCCTAGAGCTGGACTCTCTATCCTGTCTTGTGGCAGTGTGACATGTGAAATCATTGGTGTACTTAGGCCATAGTATCAGCTCTCTTGGTTTAGTGTTCTGTGCCTTGGGAAAGCTTTTTAAGTTTTTTGTGCCACAGTGTCCTCATGTATAATAGAGGAGGGGGGTCATTGTAGTCTTGAGCCACTTCCCGCTGAATTGGTGTGATGTTTCCAGGAAGGTTTATATTTATGTATGTCATTGTAAAACTTGTGGTACTATATTAACAACAGCAAATTGTCAAGCTGAAGAGCTGTAAGTGACAGCTATGAAAGCGAGGATTGACAAGGTGAGATGGACTGTTGTCTTTATGTACAATGTCTCATACAGGGCTGGTCTAGAAAGAGACATGGGACCTCTGAGTGCCAAGTTAGTGTTTGTATCCTATGGGTGATTCGAGAGACCAGCTTCTGTAAATTCAGAAATCATACACAGCATCAAAAAAAGGTTTGGGTTAACAAACTCAGAAGCAAGACAGTTTAACACAAAAGGCAATACTCTGAGAAATTGTTATTTAAGATTTGTTTCTCCACCCTATATGCAGGCCAAATACTAAAGGTTTGCAAAATTATCAACATTTCCATTTTTTCCTTTTTCTTAAACAGTTACTTTTTTCATTTTTTTTTTTCTGAGACAGTGACTCACTCTATTGTCCTTGGTGAAGCGTGTGGCGTCATAGCTCACAGCAGCCTCAAACTCTTGGGCTTAAGTGATGCTTCAGCCTCCCAAGTAGCTGGGACTACAGACGGTACGGGGGCTTGTTCCTGCTCAGGCTGGTCTCAAATTCCTGAGCTCAGGCGATCTACCTGCCATGGCTTCCCAGAGTGCTGGGATTACAGGTGTGAGCCACTGCACCTATCCAGTTAACTTTAGGTGCCTAAAGACTGCCCCCTCCACTGGGGGCTTGGGTTCTTTTCTTTTATGGGACACCCATTTACCTGGCACTCAGTGTTATTTGGCTATAGTCATATTTATTACAATTATTGCTATTTTATTACTTCATTATTTAAAATAATATAGGCTTATACTGTATATGTTTAGTGGCTGCTTATTTATGTATCATAAATAAATCCCTGCTGTGTTGATACAAATTATTCTATAGTCTAGTTGTACCATTGCTTAACTTTTTCCTGTTGATGATTATTTGTGTAGTTTTTTAGGGGTATTTTGATATTAAAACCTATAGTGCAGAGCTGAGGATAGTGGCATGTACTACAGTTCCAGCTACTTGGGCAGCTGAGGCAGGAGAATCCCTTGAACCCAGGAGTTTGAGTTGGATGTTAATTTATGACTATTAATCATGAATCTTTTCAAAGATACTAATTAGAAGTTTTACTAATTTGCTGTTTTTTCTACTTTGTGTACCATCTGTTTTTCTGTAGGATTGGTTTTGCTTTTTCATCTTGGTTCTTTGCTTTTTTTTTTT